AGCAGAGCTCAGAAACACTGAGATTAATAACTGATCACATTGATTTATCAGTCTACTCAGGCTTTAGCAGAGCTCAGTAACACTGAGATTAATAACTGATCATCACATTGATTTATCAGTCTACTCAGGCTTTAGCAGAGCTCAGTAACACTGAGATTAATAACTGATCACATTGATTTATCAGTCTACTCAAGCTTTAGCAGAGCTCAGTAACACTGAGATTAATAACTGATCACATTGATTTATCAGTCTACTCAGGCTTTAGCAGAGCTCAGTAACACTGAGATTAATAACTGATCACATTGATTTATTAGTCTACTCAGGCTTTAGCAGAGCTCAGTAACACTGGGATTAATAACTGATCATCACATTGATTTATCAGTCTACTCAAGCTTTAGCAGAGCTCAGTAACACTGAGATTAATAACTGATCACATTGATTTATTAGTCTACTCAGGCTTTAGCAGAGCTCAGTAACACTGAGATTAATAACAGATTACATTGATTTATCAGTCTACTCAGGCTTTAGCAGAGCTCAGTATCACTGAGATTAATAACTGATCATCACATTGATTTATCAGTCTACTCAGGCTTTAGCAGAGCTCAGTATCACTGAGATTAATAACTGATCATCACATTGATTTATCAGTCTACTCAGGCTTTAGCAGAGCTCAGTAACACTGAGATTAATAACTGATAATCACATTGATTTATCAGTCTACTCAGGCTTCAGCAGAGCTCAGTAACGCTGAGATTAATAACTGATCACATTGATTTATCAGTCTACTCAGGCTTTAGCAGAGCTCAGTAACACTGAGATTAATAACTGATCATCACATTGATTTATCAGTCTACTCAGGCTTTAGCAGAGCTCAGTAACACTGAGATTAATAACTGATCACATTGATTTATCAGTCTACTCAGGCTTTAGCAGAGCTCAGTAACACTGAGATTAATAACTGATCACATTGATTTATCGGTCTACTCAGGCTTTAGCAGAGCTCAGTAACACTGAGATTAATAACTGATCACATTGATTTATCGGTCTACTCAGGCTTTAGCAGAGCTCAGTAACACTGGGATTAATAACTTATCATCACATTGATTTATCAGTCTACTCAGGCTTTAGCAGAGCTCAGTAACACTGAGATTAATAACTGATCACATTGATTTATTAGTCTACTCAGGCTTTAGCAGAGCTCAGTAACACTGAGATTAATAACAGATTACATTGATTTATCAGTCTACTCAGGCTTTAGCAGAGCTCAGTATCACTGAGATTAATAACTGATCATCACATTGATTTATCAGTCTACTCAGGCTTTAGCAGAGCTCAGTATCACTGAGATTAATAACTGATCATCACATTGATTTATCAGTCTACTCAGGCTTTAGCAGAGCTCAGTAACACTGAGATTAATAACTGATAATCACATTGATTTATCAGTCTACTCAGGCTTCAGCAGAGCTCAGTAACGCTGAGATTAATAACTGATCACATTGATTTATCAGTCTACTCAGGCTTTAGCAGAGCTCAGTAACACTGAGATTAATAACTGATCACATTGATTTATCGGTCTACTCAGGCTTTAGCAGAGCTCAGTAACACTGAGATTAATAACTGATCACATTGATTTATCGGTCTACTCAGGCTTTAGCAGAGCTCAGTAACACTGAGATTAATAACTGATCACATTGATTTATCGGTCTACTCAGGCTTTAGCAGAGCTCAGTAACACTGAGATTAATAACTGATCATCAACAACTCAACTTTGTAAATAATATATTAACACTGAAAATATATTCCATCAATGTTTTTGAAAATCCAGGCAAAAATTGAATTTCACGTTCAGAATTAGGGAAAAGTTACTTTAAAATGAATCAACAATTAGTTGTCAGTTAAAAACAAATGGCATCTATAAGGCATCAACTGTAGATCATCCAAATAAAACATGACCATAATTTCTAATACAGCGCACACCCTGACACTGGATCTGCAGCATCCTGTCACAATCTAATCATAGCAAGTAGGCCATGATAGCAACTTATTATTAAAAAGGCAGTAATAACATTGTTCCATCCACTCTTTCCTTCCGTGCCGAAGCTAACGATCTTCTATGTGACTGATTTTCTGTTGCTCTGTTCTATTTTTTCCTTCCTATTTATAATTGCTTTGGCAATAATGTGACTTGTAACATCCATGCCAATAAAGCAGCGCTGGCCTGAACAGCGAAAGAGAGAAAGAGAGAGAGGTTGACTTTAAACATACCTCTACTGCTGCAAGGACACCCACATTCTTAAACTTAATTTAACCATAAAACCTAATTTTCCCCTCACCTAATTTTTAGCATCAGCCTCAAACGTATCAGCTCAGCCTCCTCATGTTCCAGCCCTCATATAACATCCTCCTCTGACAGAATCCTTGTAACCTGTAGTTAATAATAAAATACATAGAGTTGACCTTAAAATACCTTCAGTCCTGCATTAAAAAAAACATTTTAAAACCTAATTTCATCTCAAATTTAACCAACTAGTCTTTTTTAGTTTGATCATCATATTTGTAAAATATAATCCCAAAGCCTGCTCATTGCTAAAAGCAGGGAAGAATGTATATAGATATTGTTGTAGGTGTTTTAGTATCGCTACTATTTAAATTTTATAAACCCAATTTTAAATTAAAAGAAAAGCTGAATTTATGTAAGGAAAATAACAAAAAAACAGCTTCAAAATCATTTAAAAAAATCTTTTTAAAAAAAATGTGTGCATTTTTATATCTGCATATATATTTGCATTTCTATCTATGTTATATATGTTAAATATAGTTATTCTTATCAATGCTTTTAATTGTCTATTTCAATAATAAAACTGTGCTGGTCTGGGTGAACCATCTGATTTACTGGTTGTGCCACCTGACTTTTCAGACTAATTTCAAATTAAACAGCCATCTATTTAGATACTTTTGTCCTCAAACTTAAGCTTATATTTACTTTTTTTTTCAAATAAATAAACATTTATGATACACACTTTCATGGCTTTCTTGAGGTCACACCACCTGACATGATAAACTGAACCATTCTAACCATGAATGAAAATTTTTTTTTCCAGTATTTATGACAGGGCTACTGGTCTTGCCTTTGCACCATGAAGATCACTTTTTTCATGATGCAATACTTTGGCCCCTCTTTCATAAAAGCAAGTCAAAATAAAAGTCCTTTGTTTTAGGTTGAGCCGCCTGACATTTGAGGAAGTAGGAACTTGAGGACAAACGTTTTTCAGTTTTCAGTGAGTTGAATTAAAGTTGCTTTAATTTGCAGCATGGTTTTTATTTTAAAGTTTATAAACATACAATTTTATACAACGAATTCACCTTTTGTTATAGTTTACTTAATCAACATATATGGTTGGATGGTTGCACCACCTGACATTTTTAGACTTTTGGAGGCAAAAAGAAACTAAAATGAATTTTATATGGATGCACTGAAATCTGATTCACATAAGATGTACTGCTTAATAATATGATATAATATATGATTTAATATATGTCATGTATTTATTTAGTTACTTTTGGGGAAAATAAAACACTTGGACACAAAAAAATGCACATCATGTCAAGGACTCACGTAACTGGTGGACTGAGCATGAGACCTCTCACGAGAATTGCGCAACACTTTACGGCACAACATCACACACCAACAACTATGGTATAGCTAGCTATAAGAGAAGCGAGCTCGGTTTTCCCAGCATAGACATCATGGCAGAGGCTGTGAATAGACCGAAGAAGAAGACGTTGTTGGAAGAAGTGAGGAAGAAAAAAAGAAAAAGTGACAGAAAGAGTCCATAAATCTAAGACTGCCTTTTACTCGTTGGCAAGAGCTAAAAGGGGATAAAAGCATGCAAAACTTTACAGACTGTAGTCCATCTGTTTCTCTGCATACTTTGTTAGCCCGCTTTTACCCTGTTCTTCAGTGGTCAGGACCCCCATGGACCCTCACAGAGCAGGTACTATTTGGGTGGTGGGATCATTCTCAGCACTGCAGTAACGCTGACGTGGTGGTGGTGTGTTAGTGTGTTGCGCTGGTATGAGTGGATCAGACACAGCAGTGCTGCTGGAGTTTTTAAACACCTCAGTGTCACTGCTGGACTGAGAATAGTCCACCAACCAAAAATATCCAGCCAACAGCGTCCTGTGGGCAGCGTCCTGTGACCACTGATGAAGGACTAGAGGATGACCACCACAAACTGTGCAGCAGCAGATGAGCCATCGTCTCTGACTTTACATCTACAAGGTGGACTGACAAGGTAGGAGCGTCTGATATAGTGGACAGTGAGTGGACACAGTGTTTAAAAACTCCAGCAGCACTGCTGTGTCTGATCCACTCGTACCAGCACAACACACACTAAAACACCACACACTAACAGTCTAATTCAGTTCAAAGAACTGAAGTTCAGTAAAATGATTCATATACATTATTATAATATAGTGTTTGTACGTGTTTCCGTGTGACCACGAGCACTGATTATTATTATGATTGCTGATTATTGTGACAATATTTTGGCAATGTTGGATGTCAAACCCGCTAAACTGAGAGAGAGAGAGAGAGAATCGTGTGCGCGCGCGTGTGAGAGAGAGTGAGAGAGAGAGAGAGAGGAGAGAGAGAGAGAGTGAGTGAGAGAGAGGGGGAGAGAGAGAGAGAGAGAGAGAGAGAGAGAGAGAATATTGTGCGTTCCTGCTCTGTGTCTCTCTCTCTCTATCTGCCTCTCACTGCACCATGAGTCCACACGCGCAGAGCCGGAGTTACGCGCGCGGTCAGCAGCGTCCAGCCTCAGCCACTAGCGCCGCGCGCGCTTCTACGGAGCGCCGCTTCAGCTCTTCGCGTTCCAGCCATTAGAAGCGCGCGTGCAGAGAGCGAGCCGCGATCAGGAGAGGATCTTCCAAACACGCGCCGATGTGCTGGAGGAGAATGGCTCGACCGCGCGCTTTGATTTACTGACCGTTGGCTGGATCTCTCTCTCCTCCCCCCTCCACCGCACAACCTGTTGTGCCTGGGCGCGAGCGGCACGAGAGTCACGAGCGCAAGTGGGACGCCACGCACGAGCCTGCAGGTGAGCTCTTTTTTCTCTTCGGTGTTTTCCTGTTGGAGCGCGACCACAGCAGTGTTGCGCCGAATGCAGCAGCGAGAAATGTGCGCCGTCCAGAAATGACGGAGCCGTCAAAGTGACTGCGGGGTTATTTTGGCTCGTTTCACGCGGAACCCCCTGCCGTGTGAACTGTGACAGACCCCGGCGTGGGGTACAGCGCAGTGCGTAATGGTTTATCTAATCGAACCCCCCAAAGGACCCCCGGTTAAGGTGAAGGCGAGCTTCTGCTGGGGAAACACGGAGGATATTATTGTGCTTCTCTTGGTGATATTACTGATAAATCGATGGCACAAGTGTAGGCGCTGAGGAACAGCTGTGTGAAGAGCACGAGCTACATGAAGTTGCCTTTTTCTTTTCTTTAGCTTAGTAGATGTATTATTACAAGATAATAAAACAGTCTTAACATATAATCTACTCTGTAATATATACTGTTAAAGGGCTATAACATCAGCTATAACCACCTTATTGTTTCTACACTCACTGTCCATTGTATCAGCTCCACTGTTCAATCTGTGACTGTACAGTTACAGGTTGTAGTTCATTGGTTTCATACTTTATCAGCCCCATTTTCAATGGTTGGGACCCCCAGAGAACCACCACAGAGCAGGTATTTTTTGGGTGGTGGATCATTCTCAGCACTGCAGTGACACTGATGTGGTGGTGGTGTGTTAGTGTGTGTTGTGCTGGTCTGAGTGGATCAGACACAGCAGTGCTGCTGCTGGACTGAGAATAGTCCACCAACCAAAGATATCCAGCCAACAGCATCCTGTGCAGCAGCAGATGAGCTATCATCTCTGACTTTACATCTACAAGGTGGACTGACAAGATAGGGGTGTCTAATAGAGTGGACAGTGAGTGGACACAGTGTTTAAAAGCTCCAGCAGCACTGTTGTGTCTGATTCACTCACACCAGTGCAATATGCACTAACACACCACCATGTCAGATTCACTGCAGTGCTAAAAATAAACCACCACACCTGCTCTGTGGGGGTCCTGTGGGGTCCTGACCATTGTAGTGCATCTATATGGTAAGTGGAGCTGATAAAATGGACAGTGAGTGTAGAAACAAGATAGTTATAGCTGACCATTAACAGATGGTGGTCGTTTTAACCCCTTAACAAGCCTAAGAGTAGCTCCATTAGTTTGCACTGAAGTCCCTGCAGTTACTGAATAATAAGCCTTGGTATGAAATGAGCCTGAGGGTGTTAAGGGGTTAATGTTATGGCTGATTGTGTGTATAATGGCCACAAAGATGCCTGACGTAGAGCCCTTCGGTCAGGATTCAGTTGTTTTTACCTACAGTATGGCATGTATATCTAGATGACCTAAAAGAGACAGGGTGTCACCCTGCACAGTCTGACTTGTTTCTGTACGGCTGAACGATTTGTTGTTTTTATATCACAAACTTGCAGGATTTCTTTACGGTGGAGGTGATAGGAACCAGGGGTCAGGATGTCAACAATGCAGATATAGCCATTGCATTTGCTATCTAAAATGACCAGTGAAGGAATTTTATATGTAATATTAGTAATGGTAAAGTAATGGTGAAATTATAAACAAATACATTTCTTTGGGTAGTATTTTGCCTCATAACACCCTCTGTGAATGGCTTTTGAATCTGTTTTAGGCCAAAACCTTATTGCAAAACTATTGTCTCAAGCATCAGGTAACAGCTTTCAGTGATGTAGCTTTTAGAGCCATTAAACTCTTCAGAGGTCTGGTTCCTATCACCACCACTGTTGGTAGGTTTTAATAGAACAGAGAATTTTGCATCAAGCCACTAAGAATGACTTTGTTGATCTTTGCTTAAATTATTATGATTGATTTGTCCAGATATTTAGAAAAACCAGTAGAATTTCCTTTTAATGTATTGAAAATATCACAATATTAAATCACAAGTTGCAGTTTTCCCCCCTAGTTTTCAGCCCTAGCTCACTGCCACTTAGTCCAAATGACAGCCTGAGCTGCCGCCGTTTGCCTGTGAGGTTTCAGAGAGTGCTTCATGATGACAGCCTCAAACCGTGTGCAGCCGCGTTCCTCTCTGAGCTCCCCATGTTGGTGTCTCCCTGAGGCTTTTTTGGCAATTCCTGAGGATGGCAGACTTCTGGAGAAAGCACAGCAGCACTACTGCTTCAGCATGCTTTTCTAAGGCCCAATCCCATTTCTTCTTTTTACCCCTACCCCATGTTTTCGAGTGTCATTCTCTGTTCTACAAAAACTTACCAACTCAGAATTGTTCACAGTGGTGGTGATAGGAACCAGACATCTGAAGATTTTAATGCCTCTAAAAGCCCCTTAGAACTGAGTTACAAGGGGTAGTGGTTGAAATCTTAACCTACGAAATGGGACCCTCAAAATTACTTCATTAACAGCTACCAGCGCTGCTCTGTAGGCGACCCTACCCGTCTGCAGTGACAGCAGAGGAGGGTAAAGTTCAGCTCCTCACTGCTGGGCTTTAGTTACATTTAGGGCATCATACGCCTTCAAAGAGGGGGCAATTATTTATTATCACCCTCCCCTAATTCTTCAGTGATATGAAGCTGAAGTCAGATATTCACCAGATTCTTTTTCGAATTTTCCCGTTCCACCTTAAATGGTGCATCAGTTACATTCTGGCGTCAGAACTGCTGGACTATTTAAGGCGGAACGGGAAATTTAGCTAGCTAGCTACTGAGACATTAGCATACTATTAGTGACTTTTTATGCTTGTAATGAAGAAAACAACCATAATACACTGAAATGACATTAAACTAAGATAATACAGTGGTTATCATGATTTTATAACTGAGAAAATTCTCACATTTTTTGGGTTTCTTTAGTCTCTTGTTCAGCATCTTGCCGCTTTTTTTTCTCATAACTCTCTGTTTGGAGTCTCTTTAAAAGAGATCATGTAGCCCTAACACTTCGCCCTACCCCTCTATCTCAACAAAAATCGGGACACCCTACCCCTAGACATGAACGCGCAAAACAGAGGGCTAAGGGCTAAGTGGTAGGGGCGAGGGGTGAAATGGGATTGGGCCTAAGTAGCTCCAAGGGAGGCTTATCTTGAGGTCCTTCAGCTTCTTCTCTTGAGTGAAGTTAATCACTATGGGAAAGACTTTTGGGTAGGTCCTTTATGTAAACCTACTTTTGTGAATCACCAAATCATTCACTCTTCAAAATAAAGGTGCCCAAAAGGTTTATATATAGTGATGCCATAGAAGAGCCACTTGTTGTTCCCTGGTTTCTGTAAATGAGATATGTGAGACAGAAGAGCCTTTCTAAGGTTTCAGGAACCTCTAAATAATGTGAAGGTTCCATACCAGCTAAAGGTTTTTCCTAGAACTACATAGCCAAGCCAAGAGTTCTTTAGCAGCCTGTATTTTTAAGAGTGGTGCGAGATCATGCATCTAAAGTTTCTCTATTGTTATTCACTTGGCTATTGATGTTTGATGCTTTACCACTGAACCGTTGCCCAGGCGCATGCACAGATAGACCCAGAGGGGCTGCCCTTTTGCCCTCAGACCGCACCAGTGCCCTCATGGTCAGGGTGTATAACAATTCTATTTTATATTGCTGTGATTGTTGTTGAAGCTCCACTTCAGCTCAGCCCAGCCTGCACGCTAGGAATAGAGCTAGGGGATTGGTTTAGGTTCCTCAAGCTTCATTGCTTTTGGGCGCCCCCTCTGGTGCAGTACCAACCGCCTATGTAAATTCTGACCTCTCATGGACACATCATTGTTTATCTTTAACAACGACTAAACTATTGTGAGCTGTAAAGTGTGACACATTGATCAACCAAGGTTTTCAGTAATTTTAAAAACATGAATGTATGACGTTGATACCTTAATACCTTAATAGCTGTGTAGTGTAGTGCACAGCACCTACAGTCGTATGCAGATGTTTAAATACTCTTGGTCAAATAACAAATTTTGCTGATTTTCAAAGTGAAAATAAGTCAACACACCCTCTAAAGAGCACACACTTAAATATGACACTTTTCTGCACATTTTAGTGCAACTTTTTGAGTTTGACATATGGGAGAAAATACAACATGCAAAATAATATATAAAATAACTATAATAACTATTTTCACAGGGGCGGGGGTGCCCAAACTTTTGCATACAACTGTATGCCCCATATGCTGGAGGATGGTGTTCAATTCCCCACTCTGATCAACACATTACAGTTTATTACTTCCAATAAATGCCTTCACACCCCAGTTTGTGTGCGGAAAAAAAAAATCACACGTGATTTATTTGTTAGTGAATTATTTCAAATACAAGTAGAACTGATGATATCTTGCACACCAAACAAGTTTTTGGATGGTAAAACAAAATGCAGTGTTGTTTTATTTGCCATCTGTTTGCTTTTTGTGAACTTTCACAGGCAACATTAACTCACTTGAACAATCACTGTTGTCCCTGCTGTTGGCATGGTGACAACCAAGATGATTAATTGGCTGTGTCCTAGCAAATAGGACTGTATGTCTTCTGCTTCTGACCCTATTTAGAGGGGCTTCAGCCCTGTTTATCTCAGCCTCCCTGAAAATGGTCTTCTTTCCCCAAATAAATTGATCTGTTTCTCTTTGCTGTTACTACAACACAGCAGGAAACAGTTTCTCCCCTTCATTCTGCGATTTGGTGGTTTGAACCTTAATGGATTTTATGGTATGAAGTGTTTCATAACTCACTAATGCTGGTTGTGGAACTTTTTATTCTTTGTGTTATTGTTGTCTTTTCCTTTGTAGAAAATCTTAATCGCATTTATTAAGTACTTAAATCGTATGCAGCCATTTATTTGTTTGCTGGTGTAGGCTGCACCTCTGTCGAACCAAAAAGAAGGGTGTCAAGATGCAGCCTCTCCAATGCAAGGTAGGACGCAGTTCTTCAGAGGCAGGCTGCTGTGGGAGCGCAGGCGATGTGGCCATGCAGAGCGGACACGTGTGGAGGCTCTCTGGGGTTGAGAGACATTTACCTTTAAATTAGTTGTTGTTGTTGGCTTCATACATGTTTGTGCTATTCTGTGCAGGCTGTGGGGTAGTTGGTGCAGGGTTAGGCTAGAGGTGGCCTGACTGCTATCCTGGCCGTTTCAGCAGTGCTGAGCGGAGGTTCTCCCTTGCTGTCTGTTCAATAAAAGAGCATTTGCCTTTAAAGTGCAGTTTCCCACATCTTCGCTGATGCCACGATAATACAGGGTGATTCAAAAAGATTCATCCGATTTCAAAGCGCCATATTTTTACAACTGTGAGGAGCCTAGGAACCAATCACAATCCAATTGAAAGAGGGGGTTAGAGTTTCTGACTGTCAGTGGAAGATGGCTCCCTTCAGTCTGAGAGGGGATGCGTCCCCTGAGCAGAAAGCGTTCTGCGTTCTCCACTTCAATAAGAGTGAATCTGTCATAACTGTGCAGTGTGATTTTCACGGGCAGTGAACCTCCAACAGCTCAGAGCGTTCGGCGTTGGTTCCACAACACTGGATGATCTCCGAAATCGCACTGAAAGAGCCGTGAGTGCAGCGACACCCGACATGCTCAATCCAGTATGGGATGAATTTGACTATGGCGTTGATGTTGTCCGTACAGCTGGAGGAGGTTCATACTGAGCACTTATAAAATTCCATAAACTTTACGCTCATTTAAACCATTTACAGTTCACTGGATTGATCTGTAATGATTTACAAGTGAAATAAATCATTTTGAAATCGGATGAACCTCTTTAGATCACCCTGTATATAAAAACTGCTGTCTGACTCAAAGCACTGATCACATTCTCAGCACCAGCAACAACCAACAACATACCACAGTGTTATTAGATGACATATGGTTTAGAAACTATTTCATGAAAGGCAAATCAGCCTTACATTTGAATGAAATAAGTGGTTTAAGTGGATATGTCGCCTCCCCTCGCCTGTTACTGAGCCCCTCCCCCCATGCGTGTGATGTTAGGATCTCCAGAATTAACTCAGACTTGAGCTATTACATTAGCTGGTGCATTAGAGCTATTTGCTGAAGTGCTCATAAAGTTTCAGCTCATGGATGAATTGGTTAAAAAATCTGAATATTCCGCCTTTTCATGTCATTTTTTTCTGTCAGCTGTGCTCAATGCGTAACTGCCTTAGCAGTCAGTGTGCAAAGAGTCCTAATGCTACATTTGCATACCTTTCTCATATTATAGCACTGTCTTTCTGATTAGGAGCAGATGCTGTAAATTAAATTTTTATTCACGTTCACATTGCTCTTCTTTTTTCCCCACCAAGCCCCCAAGACTGTCTGTGCAGAGTCCTGCCGTCGCCACGTTATATTAAAGCACCAGAACTGCAAGAATGTCTCTATTTTCTCTGTATTTCGCATCAGGTTATGTGTAATATCTCAGTTTTCAAGATAAGCTAGCATTTGGCAGGGTTCTACAGACTTTCTGAAGTTGAAATGATTGTTTAGAAGGCAGAGGGCAGATTGATAATTCCAGCAAAAAGCCTGTTAAGAAGTGCTTTCTAAATATATAACTGAATACACATCTGAGGCCTCCAGCATGTTAATGCATTTTAAGATGGCCTATTTTAAGCCTCTAGCATGCTAAAGCAGAGAAGCCAGTAGAAAATACTAAGTATGGCCTCTGCAGTATTGCTTTACTATACTACATTTACAGTTCACTGTGACAGTTTTGCACTATTTAAAGCAAGAAATAACTTATTTTAATAAACTGAATGTGTTTATTGCATAGACTGCTTATTATATTGTGAATTATCAGGCTCTGCTCTTTGCCATATTAATGAAAAAAGTTGGCCTTTTTTCAGTAAGTGGGCACTTAACAAAAGTACTTTTCAGGATTTGGCCGAGCAATTGAGGCCTGAGAATGGATCTAATGGGCTGCAGGGTGTGACGTTAATGGCTTACAGTACCGAAAGCCATTTTGTCCATAATGTACAATCTCAAACCTCATTAACCAAAATCCATTCAGCTGTCCCTCCCTTTTTCCTTTTGAAGCCTTTTCTGGTTTATTATCCCCTATTTTCTTCCTGCATTATCTGAACAATATTAGTTGTTCTGCCACCTGCAGTCTTTTCTATCATATGGCATCAACCAACATAGGACTGTCAAGGCAAGCATGCGCTTCTTTGAAGACATATTAAGCCACCACAATCTGTTTTTGATTGGACGCAATATAAAAGGGGAGTTTAAAAGTGCTTTGTGTAAGATTTCGGGGGATCTATTAGCAGAGATAGAGTGTAGGATACAAAACCATGTTTTCGTTTTCGTGTATAATCACCTGTAACTATGAATCGTTCTGTTTTTCGCTAGCTTAACATGAGCCTGTCATGGGAGCAGGTCCTCTACCAACAGAAGCTGCCATGTTGCGCCACCAAGTTTCTACAGTAGCCCAGAGTGGACAAACCAAACACTGGCTCTAGAGGCACCTTTTGCATTTTATGTTGAAGCAGCAGCTTAAATTTGGTGGAGCTATAGCACCAGTTGGAAGATATAGAGAGTAGAAGAATCAGTGGTTGCTGCTGGTGCTGGCTGACCATTTTGTGCCGTGAGAAGTTTAAGAACTCAAATTTGGACAAATGGAGGATCGGACTTATTATTTAGCCCAAGAAAAAAACAAGGGAGGGTGAATCCTCGTCGTCAAAGAAGCGAAAACCTGACATAGGTTCTACTACACGCTTGGAAAGGGAGGAGTGCGGAGGAGTATTCAGTTGATCGCACTCTGCAACCTCACCACTAGATGGCACTAAATCTTACACACTGCACACACATTTAAGGCGCATGGAGAAGAACGCTAAATTGCCCAGCACCGCTGTGGATCGACATGGAAAGAGAAAACATAAGGGACACTTTTCCACTCAGTGAGGCCCGTTGGACTTTTTGGACTCCTGGCCTCCTGTGACATAATGAGGATTTGAAATTGTCCGTCTGTTTTGTATAAGTAGAATTTTCATGGAAGTGTTTGTCAAACCAGTAAATATATTAAATGCATTGATGTACTGTGATGCATCAACCTCAATGTGATTGGCTGAGTTTTTGAAAATGGTCTTTGATTGTGAGGTTGTTATTTGGTGGGAAAAATGTTTATTGTGATCATTGTTTTTTTTTTTTGTGAACAACTGTTTTGTTGTCTTTTGGCATATATTTTGGCACGTATGTTATCATAAAATCATAGAACATCCCCATTCCATCCCCACCTCAAGGGTATGTTAAGGGTGGATTACAGAATTTACATTTAGCACAGTACACAGAGTTCACAGCTTCATAAGAACAAAAGACCAAAAAATACACAAATGTACATGTGCGCTAATAGATTGGAATTTTGTTCAAATCAAAATAAACAAATAAATAATAACAACCCTAACCAGAGCTTAGTAAAACTATACAGATTGTAGCACCCTTATTGAGATCAATAAACAATAACGATAGTTATTTATTTTATTCCCCTGTATTTCACAGTTTTATAAGGAGCCAGTTGATGCTGGGTCAGAATTTCATTTAAATCCCCCCTAGTTTGATTCTCAAGTAGTTTAATACCGTGGTGTCCGCCATGGGCTGTGCTGCTGCGGGGAGCTTAGGGAGTGTGGCCATTATGTTTTTATAAGCCAAAGAGACTGACTGAGCTAAAAGCATAAGCACACTGACTGTAGTGAAAGAAGTCTGTAGGTTAACTGGTGCGGGTGGCTGCAGCTAACATAACAGCTTAGTCACACTGCTAAACTAGCAAATGTATAACCTTATGACTAAATATTACGCAATTATTAACTTACTGCATCCACATATGCAGTATTGCCTTGTCAGGAGAAAAAAGTCTGTCATCTGCAAGTATTAAATATTCCTGAACATTTAAAATTAGAGGCAAATAATTTGTTGTTTTTTGTGTTTAAAGTTAGAAATAGCATGTTGTTCCCTCCATTTAGTTGGGGTTGTGTGTGATAATGTTACTAACTAGAACAAATAGCTTTAAACATTCAAAGGGACATTTTTTGAATTTGTATGCACATTTGTTGATTGAACTTGAGTAATATTTGAATGTTTCATTTTATTTTGACAGCCCTAGTTGAGGTGTCACAGTGATTGTACCTCACATCATGTATACCACCCACCAGCTGGTAAAACCACTGTAATAAAATCCTCATGTTTTCAGACTAATGATAATAAAAAAATATTTGGTGTATTGTTTGGTGTAGTGAAATACAGCGGTTCCACCTTTGGAGTCACACAAAGTTTAGTGTTGTTTTGAAATAATTTCATATTGTTAATAATCAAGTAATATCATGATGAAACTTGAGATGTCATGATAATCGAATGGTCAGAGATTTGCCGCTACTAACCCACCACCTCTCTGCGCAGTCTCAGCGTAAGATGGCCTAGCAGCGATGTCCCAGCTGTACTACCGTCGTACGGACAACTCCTCGTACAGAGACCGCATCCCTCTGCGGATCGTGCGGGCCGAGTCGGAGCTGTCCCCTCTGGAGAAGGCCTACCTGAGTGCCGTGGAGAAGGGAGATTATGGCAGCGTCAAGCAGTTCCTGGAAGAGGCTGAGATCTACTTCAAAATTAACATCAACTGCATCGACCCGCTGGGCCGCACGGCGCTCCTCATCGCCATCGAGAATGAGAACCTGGAGATCATCGAGCTGCTCCTCAGCTTCAACGTGTACGTGGGCGACGCCCTGCTCCACGCCATCCGCAAGGAGGTGGTGGGTGCTGTGGAGCTGCTGCTCAACCACAAGAAGCCCAGTGGAGGAATGCAGGTGGGTCCAACATCACGGCTTACAAACTTCAAAAAATACAGACTCTTCAGTGAAAGATCTGCAAACTTCTTCAAACTTGCATGTCTCGATTACAAAAATGATTTCTTAGAGACGCTTCCATTGAAAGGTTCTTTGGGGAACCAAAAGTGGTTCTCTTATGGCATCACTCCAAAGAAACCTTCTTAGAACCTTTACTTTCAGTAGATCTCCTCGTACAAGATGCCCACCAAAACCATCAACCCTTAGAAACAAACACAAATGTGATGTTGACTGAAAGTTTAGAATCAATGCTTGTGAGAGAACCTGAGCATATTTCAATGAACTATGAGTTATACTAATCAGTGTGGAACTACAACATGCTAGTGTTAATGTAATGGCTCTCTTAGCTACCGTGTAGTCCAAAGACTATGATGCGTCTCTGCCATAGACTATAAAAATAAAGCTGCCAAAGATGGCTCTTTGGAGCAATGCCATAAAAGAAGCGCTTTTGGGTTCCTAAAGAACCTTGAAGAACCTCTAATTCTAATCTCTAATATGTATTTCTGTAATTGCAGTGTGTGAGTGTGAAGAACTGTTGCATAATGTTTTGGTGTAAAGGTTTTATATCAACTAAAGGTGTTTTCTAGAACCAGGGATCTTACGATGCTCTCACAAAACGTCTTTGGAGGCCCAAAAAAGCAAAAAAATTGCTTATAGAATGCTTATAAAAATGCTTAAATGCAAATAGCTTTAATAAACAGCTTGTGGCAATATTCCATCAATTCCTGCACAGTGCATTCTGCATATTTTTGGTGTTTAAAGGGGAATTTTAAATTGGCTGTTTTGTTTTTTTTTTTGTATTTTCACAACACAAAATAGGTTATACAAAAAACATGAGTACATAATTAGTTGTGTAGTTATACTCAAATTACCTTGGGACTACTAGCTAGGTGATCTTCTCTAAAGAGGAGTGCAGGGGGGAAAAAGTGTCAAGGATGAACATTGTAATCTAAAATATGGGAAAAATGTCTTTTTTTTTAAAGTATGCATTTACATAAACACATGGTAAATACTCATATTTAAGTGCATTTTAAATCAACATTTGTCACCACAAGCTAATATTGATATGATAAAGCTGTAATAATAATACAAAGAAGAAAAATCACAAACTTACATAATGGTTCTTAGATAAAGTTATATGGGACTTTTATTGTGATTGTATCAGGGTTCCTGCTAAACGCGAATGCAGCGTAAGCAAAGAAGAGCAGTTAATTCTGCATTCTCAGTGTAATTGTTTGATAATTCCATTCATTTTGTCCTTTCAATAAAAATCGACCCACCTTGGGAGCCACAACATTTTATGTCCATTTTACCATCTTGGCTGCAAATATGTCTCTGTGTGTGCTGATGTACCAGTATAGGCTAAAAATATAGTAAAAATGAAAACACAGACTTACTTTGCTCTGCTTTAAGCTTCAGCTCAGCTATAGCTGCTTTTCTCGCATCTCCAGCAGGAAACTTTTCCACAAAAGTAGAGCAGTTTCTTGTAAAACGTCTCTCAACATTCGGGTTTTTACGAGGCCGAAATCAGCTTCTCATTCGCCAGCTTCTTGTTCTGACTTCAGCTTCACAATTTCTTTTAGTGTTTGACAGTTTATTTAAATTGCTGTCTGTGCTATGTGACCAGCAGTCTGTGCGCCAGGTGAATTAGCAGATAAAGTCTACATTAACTCCAGCATTTAAGACCATTTATTGTTTGAACGATCAGCAGAGATTTTTTTTACTGCAAAGTATTTATAGGTCTAATTCTGCTGTGGATCCACAACAGGGCAGTAAAAGAGCCGCGTGTTGCCGAATCCCTGGTCTAGTATGTTCAGCAAATCTACCCATAAGATGAAAAAATGAATAAAGAAGGCTTGAGGTGGTATAAAGCTGTCACATCTGGCTATATTGCCTGTTTCCTAATAGTTTGAGACCCCTGTGTTTGACATTACATATTCAAGGCCTATTTGTTTCATTACATTTTTGCATCTGAGCTGCCTCTAGACCCCAAGATACCCCTTGGCAGCCATACGTCTCTGAGCACCGGCCCCACTGGCCCGGTTAGTGATGCATCCCTACCTAGAACCACACACCCAAGCGAAGAACCATTAAGGAACTTACATTTTTCCACACCTTTAGTCTCACCTCCTCTGCAAAATGTCAGCTGTGAAAATTCTGTTTACTCTTTTCACTTCATATTATGTGCTAAACATGGATGCTCAGTTGATAAGCACAGTGGAGTACAGGACACTCCAACAGAACACGTCTCAGTAAAAGTGTACATATGATGAACTGCACAGATCTTTCACTTAAGATCTTTCACTGTATGAGTGCTGACAAAGAGCAGGTATGAATGCTGAAGTCCTGAGGCGTCTCATCGACAGCACAAACGAGACTATCTCTCCATTTTCCTGCCATTCCCCCATTCATGTTGGCTGACAGAGAAGACTATCTGAGCTCACATTCAACACTTACAGTACTTGCTGTTCTTTCTCTTCACTTCAAGACACACTTCCTCTGTCTTTTCACAGCCACGCTCGCAGCGTTCCACCTCCTTTCCGAAATTAATCCTTTTGTAGCGTAATCTGGAATGCACAGGGTGTTTTTGAGCCTCTTTTAGAGAATTAAGACTGCTTTGAGAGCCCTTCTTCAGCCGTGTCCTTGCAGACGTCAGGGCCTGACACATCCGACAGGAGAAGAAAGATTTTAGAGAATTTTCAGATGTTAATACGTTTCCCACTGCTAGCCCTTTTCCTAAATAGCCCTTTCAATAAGTAATGTCCCAGTGGCCCGGAAAGGTTGGCTAAATTGATAATTGCGCCACCAGCTGTCATTGCAAAGCAGGATGCATTTGTTATAGTAAATAGCTGCTAGTGTGCGAAATGCATCTAATCTATCTTGCAGCGGCGGTAATGTCTGCCTGACTGCTTCAAATCCGACTGGAATTACACATTTTCCTGCTTGGGAAAGGTTGCAGAGAGCATGTCAACAAAACATTAGCAGCACTTTTAGACTGAAGTGGCATGGAAAAGGCTCGAATCATAAGCAGAGTGATGCTAAAAGACTGATTCTCTGTTTATAAAAAGCTGCCGGCCCACTTGTTCTGCCTACAGCTTCTCTATTTCTCTGGTGAAGTCTAGTGAATGCTAGTCAACGAGCTTTAGGTGGGTTTGTAATGGGTATAAAGATTACTGGCTACCAAAATAGCCCTGACAAACAGTCTGACACCACAGCTTGACAAATGGAGTTTCTGACACCTCCAGATGTCAAATCAGAGGTGATTAAAATCCAGCAAGGTGGTTCAGTTCTGCTGTGCCCCCATTAGTTTGTGTTATTGATGGGTAGAGGTTGCTATACAACAGCAATTCCATTATATTTCTCACATTTGACATGATTGTTAGAAATTTGCAGCAGAGAGGGTCTTACTAAGCCAGGGGTCGGCAACATGCGGCTCTTTCACTGCCCTGTTGTGGCTCCACAGCAGAATCAGATTTGTAGGTAAAAATAAAATAATCCTCCTTTACAGTAAAATAAAGCTCTGCTGATCGTTCTTCACCTGGGATGGACTGGCGACCTGTCCAGGGTGTATCCTGCCTTACGCCCAATGAGAGCTGGGATAGGCTCCAGCACCCCACCGCGACCCAGAAGGATAAGCAGTTTAGATGATGGATGGATGGATGATCGTTCAACACAGTTTAACAATAAATGGTCTTAAACACTGGAGTTAATGTAGAACTGCTGATTCAACCTTTAGCCCTGAAGATTGTCATGCAGACTGTTGGTCACCATAGCAACGCAGACAACAGTCTCGCCTACGAAAAAACAAAGAGAAAGATTTAAGACGAACATTGATAATTTAGACTAACGGACTTGCATTTATAATCACTCCAGCTGGTTTCCTGATATGTTTAATCTGCAACGAGAAAGTCGCGACTTCCAACAAGAAGCTCTGGAATGAGAAGTTGACTTCAGCTTTTCAAAAAGTCAATTGTTGAGAAAGTTTCCTGCCAGAGATGCGAGAAAAGCAGCTATAGCTGCGCTAAAGTTTAAAGCAGAGCAAAGTAAGACTGTGTTTTCGTTTATATTATATTTTTTAGCCTGTACTAGCACATTAGCACACACTGAGATGTATTTACAGTCAAGAAATTAAAATGGGCATAAAATGTTGTGGCTCCCGAGGTGGTTTGATTTTTGTTGAGAGAACAAAATGGTTCTTTCTAACATTTGGGTTGCGACCCCTGTACTAATGTGAAAAGCTGTTTTGATGGAGTAAATGGTGCAGTCATTTATGGTTGCACCAGTACGACCTGTGGTGACTGATCATACTGGTGCAACACATTTAACGTGGCTTATAATATTCATACTGAACAAATCTCATTAACGACTACATGTTATGTCATCTGCAAATATTCACTGTCCTCAAAGCAAACATCTACACGTTCATAGTGTTGTTTATGTATCTTGTGTCTAAATCCCTCGAAACGGGTGACTTGTTCAATCGTTAATTTCCAGCCATAACAACCATTCAGACCTAGGAAAAAAGTTTAAAACTTATCTCATAGAATTTCACAGACACCTCAAGAACTGAATATAACATCAAATATTTCACTATTCAGCGTGTCCAACTTGATTTCTGTATTCAGAGAAATCTAAACACCCAAAGTTCAGTCTTAGAAGTTGGTTGCATTTTCTTCTCATGTAATCCCAAACACATTCTCTGATGTTGAAGTCTAGACTTTAGTAAGTTTTCTGCATTTTTGTCCACCTTTTTTTTCAGTGAGGCTTCTTGAGCTACACATCCTTTCAGACCCATAGCACTGAGTTGTCTTCTCACAGTGGAAGGATGGACAGAAACAGCTGTGAATTAGTTCAGAGAAAGATGAAAAGTTTAAGAACTGTTTAACTGATGGTGAGAATTTTGGTGGTCTACGGTTTTTCACGGTTGTGAGGGGTCCTATTTTTTCGTTATGTTTAATGATGTTTTGATGTGCAGTTTTGGAAGCCCCTTTTTAAAACCTATTTTCTTTTGGCTTTCCCTGTCCTACAGAGCCCTGCTGGTGACATCCCATATAGATAAAAATAATGCGTGGCCACGCCCTATTAACATGTGAAAACAAGGTATGGGGATGAAATAATTAAGTCGTGGCCATGACTTAGTAAGGCGTGGGAATGACATAATTAAGCCTTGACCACAGCTAATAAGCAACAGAACACTCGAGGTTGTGTGTTATCGCGAAATAACATCACAGCTGTGATTTGGTCGCCGTAGATCATCGCAGCCGTGATGTTATTGGCGATAACACACTCCTCGAGTGTTCTATTGCTTTTATACAACAGTTAAATAAATAAAGTAATAAATTAATAAACTGGGCTGTGAACGCAGCGTTTAATATGTTTTAATGTTCGCAGTTCCTTCACCAAATTATAGTTCCTTAACGAGCAGTTTGTTGCTACGTCAGAGTAACGAGCTCCGCCCACTCGCTGCACAGCCGGCAGTTCGTTCTCCAGCTCCACACAGACCAACTGACAGTTTGGGAATTTAGTGTAGCCTCATCTTCAGAGTCTGACCAAATCGGCTGTCGGTCAAATGTGATCTTAAAAGTATCCATTTTCTCTTTGTGGCAAAGTAAGAAGTAAAAACGTTCAAATGGCTTGAGCGTCTCCTACAGCTGTCACAGTTGTTGCTTAGCAACGGCGTCTCAGCGGAGTGATAGTGTTTGTGAAAAACCCGTGATGTTATGGTGAAATAACAGCGCAGTTAGAACGCTTCTCAACCAATCAGCTTGTGTGGTCGGAACTAACTGTTGTATAAAACCCAATGATACTGCCTTTTTAAAGGTCACAGTGGAAATGAAGAGTCTGCTGTCTCTAGGCAAAGCATGAGCTGGACAACACAGGCGCAATATGCAGTGTGATTGGTGACATGTTGGTGAAAACCATGGTGGAGGGAGATTATCTGTCATTTTTTGGTGTTGTATAAAAATATGAGAGGTTCAGTAAAATGTCTTTCCATATATTATCATGCTGAAATGATGTCAGTGTGTATTACTGCTAATAGCCTTTTCAACTCCTTGGGACCACCGGTGGTTCCAAAACGCACTTCGTCATATTCTTCATAACTTTCATATTTCATAAGCTACATTCTAAAGGTGGGGGTCGTATGAGAGCTGTAACTGTCTTCTTTCCAGTCAAATAGATGGGTGATGTAATTTTAAACCCTTATAATAAAAGAAGCTGAACTCACAATTTTTTTTCTACTGAAAGTCGACCCATTTTTCCACAAATCTGGGCTATAAACTATAAACAGATGGCATCTCTTCAGTGATCTGCTCTGTAAACATTATTTTTATAAAAAAATACAAAGAGCTTCTAAGATTTTTGGCTTTCAGCAGTGAATTCTAAGCATATAGCAATATGTGTATCATAAAACACATGTTCTGTTAATTTGAGGGGAGCTTTTACAAAAAATAAATAAATGAACAAAATAAAAATTTACATTTATTTCATGCAGTTACTGAATAATTTGCCTTATGATTTGGTCATGTAAATTCAGATGGACAAACCAAAATATACCCTGGTCAATAAGAGGTTAAAGCATTTTAAGTATATTTAAACAATCAACAATAATAACAAAAAGTTTGGTCAATGATAATATGGAAAGAAATTTGTATACTGTCCAATCCTAACTACCTAGATTATTAGCTAGTTACCTACCTACCTAGCTAACTTGCTGGCTAGCTACCTAACTAGCTATCTGAACTCTTTATTAAATCTGAATTGTTTTACTTCCAGACCTAATGAACGGCTGCTTTGCCATCTTTCTTTCAGGTTCCTCCAATCCTGCTGGATAAGCAGTTCTCTGATTTCACCCCTGACATAACCCCCATCATCTTAGCTGCCCATACCAACAACTATGAGATCATCAAGCTGCTGGTCCAGAAAGGAGTATCGGTGCCCCAGCCACATGAGGTGCGCTGCAACTGCATAGAGTGTGTGTCCAGCTCGGATGTAGATAGCCTGCGGCACTCGCGTTCGCGTCTGAACATCTACCGCGCTCTGTCCAGCCCGTCGCTTATCGCACTGTCCAGCGAGGACCCCTTTCTCACGGCATTCCGCCTCAGCTGGGAGCTGCAGGAGCTCAGTAAGGTGGAAAACGAGTTCAAGTCTGAGTACGAGGAGCTGTCCCACCAGTGCAAGCAATTCGCCAAGGACTTGCTGGATCAGACACGCAGCTCCAGAGAGCTGGAGCTAATCCTCAACTACAGAGATGATGTGAGTCCCCTGGAGGATGAGAACAACAATGACCTGGCCAGGCTCAAGCTGGCTATCAAGTACCACCAGAAAGAGGTAAGGCCAGTGCATGTTAAAGCCAGCAATCGCATTTACAGTTTTCCCCCCATGCCCAAAATGAAGTTTATCAGCAGTAGACCTCTGAAGTAGAGCGTCATTCTGTAGTCGGCATCATGTCCATATTAGGAACTCCAGGTCTAAGCAGTTTTCTCTATAAGACACGACAGTTCTAAACCAGATTTTTTCCTACTTACATTTTCCCCACAGTGGAGCCTCATTCACAAATATCATCCTAAATTTTTCCTTAAATGTGTTCTTGAGAGCTGGGATAGGCTCCAGCAGCCCACCACGACCCAGAAAAATAAGCGGTTTAGATGATGTGTGTGTGTGTTCTTGAGAAAGGTCCTAAGAAAAATGTAAGATTCATGACGTGTTCTTAAACAGCAAAGAACAAACCCCAAATAAAAAAACAGGGGTGAATGTCAGAATCTTCTTAAAACTGTGTAAGTGGGTCTTAAGAAGAATGGTTGCTGAGTGAGGCCCGATGTCACTGGATCTTCTGAAGAACGAGGTCGTGTAGAGGTTGAAGTAGAAAAACGCTACATGCATGATCTAAGCTTGCTACCACTCCTGTGCATTTAAAAGATGGTTAAAGTACGTCTACTGTTAAACGCTATTATACAGGGTGACTCAAAAAGGTTTGACCGATGCTTAGGAACCAATCACATACCAACTGAAAGAGGGGGTCATAGAGTTTCTGACTGTCAGTGGAAGATGGCCTCCTTCAGTCTGAGAGGAGATGAGACCCCTGAGCAGAAAGCGTTCTGCGTTCTCTACTTTAATAAGAGTGAATCCGTCATAACTGTGCAGCGTGATTTTCGCGGGCAGTGAAGCTCCAACAGATCAGAGCGTTCGTCATTGGTTCCACAACACTGGATGATCTCCGAAATCGCACTGAAAGAGCCGTGAGTGCAGCGACACCCGACACGCTCAATCCAGTATGGGATGAATCTGACTATGGCGTTGATGTTGTCTGTACAGCTGGAGGAGGTTCATATTGAGACCTTATAAAATTACATAATAAACTTTATGCTCACTTAAACCATTTACAGTTCACTGCATTGATCTGTAATGACTTACAAGTGAAATAAATCATTTTGAAATCGGATGAATCTTTTTGAATCACCCTGTATAACAACAACAGCAACATAAATTGTTGGCTACTACTCTTAAAGCAACTTAACCACCAAATTTGACAAACTTCAGCAGTTTGTGTGGGGTATTTTGGTGAGGTCGCCGTCATCTGATGCCAATTTAATGCAATCAGTGTTAGCTTGTAAGTTGCAATATTCAAATTGGAACATTTTTGTTTAACCCAGGGAACAATAACAGCAATTCATTCATCAATGCAAACGGCATCCATGTTCCCTTAATAGAAATTAGCCTAATTCTTAATGTGGGTGTATTAGGAATCCTAGTAATTAATGGCTACAGAATGACAACACTTAAGAGGTCTATAGTCTCAGCCTCAGACGCACCACTCTCACATACAGTAAGACCGATGATGTCTAACATTCATTGCTCGCTACCACTTGAGGATTTGGTCAACTGCATTCTGTTTGGCTACTCAATCACACACATATGTGTGCTGGGTCAAATATGGCTCACAAGACTAAATAGCCGAGACACGACACGAAGCCGATTCAAGCCTTCTTTAGTGTTGCACTGGAGCTACAGGGCTAATGTAGCTACCAGTAATGGAAGATTATAGCACCAATTAGCATAAACTGCATGAGTAAGTAAATAAAAGTACAGACAATTCAGCTAAAAACAGTAGTAGCAGCCATCTTGGACCCTAGATTTTGTCTATACTGCCATTTCTTACTGATGATTTACATAGTAGGTCATACAAGCACTGATAACTCATAAGTCTATTTGAAATCACTACCCAACTCAACTCATTTTGAGGCAAGTGCGTGATGATTTAGGGGTGGACGATGCTAACTTGTAGCCATAAGCGTACTTGATAGCCAATTGGTATCATAGCTTCAGTGCAAAACTAAGGAAGCAAACTGTGGACACCAAACTTGGCTTTTTTGATTTTTGACAGAACTATTGCTTTAAGGGAACAGCTGGTTTAACTTGAAGCTGTGCAGCCAAGGCCGCTCCTAGATGTGCGTCTTTGGTTGTATTTCCAAGCCTAGAATAAGTGGAGTCTTGAGCTAAATTGCTTTGCCAGTGGGGATTCCCTGCTGAACATCTTTGTCAGTCCAGGTAGGCTTATGAATTTCAGATGCTGTGGCCTTGTTAGTTGTCATTTCGAATAATCTAACCACTAGGGGCCGCTGCAGTTTACTCACGTAGCTCCAATGGGTCACACACTCTGTGCTCTCTGATGACGCAAAATCCAATACTGTCATTTTAGGTGGATCTATGTCGCCCCCTTCTGCGCGTGAGACACAATGCAGATGTGTTGCGCAATGTTCTTTATGGTTCCCAGCAGAGCTACAACCATATCATAGAGGCCACTTAGAAGAGGAATGAAAAAAATGCCTTGAATTGAATCGATTCAAATGCGTACATTGTTTCCAGATTAATAAAATATATTATTTTAATATAATGTATCTCAGTTTACTTAGGCTGCTCAGCCATAACATGAAAACTCGTTCCTTGTTTCACTCAGTATCCATTTTATCAGCTCCACCTTCCAAAGAGTTTCACTTTGTAGTTCTACAGTTACAGACTGTAGTCCATCTGTTTCTCTGATACTTTGTTACCCTGTTCTTCAGTGGTCAGGACCCCCATGGACCCTCACAGAGCAGGTACAATTTGGGTGGTGGATCATTCTCAGCACTGCAGTAACACTGACGTGGTGGTGGTGTGTTAGTGTGTGTTGCGCTGGTACGAGTGGATCAGACACAGAAGTGCTGCTGGAGTTTTTAAACACTGTGTCCATTCACTGTCCACTCTATTAGACACTCCTACCTTGTCAGTCCACCTTGTAGATGTAAAGTCAGAGACGATAGCTCATCTGCTGCTGCACAGTTTGGGTTGGTCATCCTCTAGTCCTTCATCAGTGGTCGGCTGGAAGCTGTTGACTGGATATTTTTGGTTGGTGGACTATTCTCAGTCCAGCAGTGACACTGAGGTGTTTAAAATCATCCACCACCCAAAAAGGCCTGCTCTGTGGTGGTCCCCTGGGGGTCCTGACCATTGAAGAACAAGATAGCAAAGTATGCAGAGAAACAGATGGACTACAGTCTGTAACTGTGGAGCTACAAATTAGGTACATTTAATGATTTCCACCATTGCTACAAAGTAACTTCAATCAGTGACAGTACAAATTTGTTTACTCTGAAGGACACGGCAGATTAAAATACAGCATGAACTCGCTGCCATATTCATTTCACTTGCTCCATCTGTCTACTCCAAACACACTTTTCATTTCCCTTCATTCCCTGGATCAGTGATTCAGTTAAACGCTTCTGCTAACTGTTCCACTTACGGTCTTCTAGATTAAGTTTGTGCATCAGATTTGGACCAAAACATTTGTTTACTTAAAAACGTTAGTAAATAATGTTTTCAGAGTTTTCAGAGTTTTCCTTTTTTCACAACTCTGAGGGGATACTTTCCACACAGTAAAATCAACCGTGTTGTATTAAAGGGGAACTCCACCTAATTTTTTTAAAAGTTTGTGTAATTGAACTGTTGAGATGCTGACAAAGCCTTTTAGAGTGGTTTGCTGTGATGTGCTGCATTCTAGAGGAACGTACAGTCAGAATCGTTCACAGTGATAATGATAGGAACCAGATGTTCAGGCCGTTTGATGCCTCCAAAATCTTTATTGGTTTTGAATTCTGGCCTAAAGCGTATTTTGAAACACATTTACCTGTGGCAAAACTATAACATCACAATACACAATATGCATCACAATATTTCGTTTTTCTGAAGTTTGCTATGTTGGACCAGAGAAAAAGTGCCAGCAGCGCCAGGTTTTTAAAAATGTACTATTAAAGCTATGAATCCATTGATTTTTATTGATTGTTTTACATACTGCACTGCATGAAATGCAGTCAAACCAGATCATGTTCTATTATTATGCACTCTTTGTAATGAAACATGCAGTTGTTCAGAAACTTACTGACTCAGATTTCATTACAGTGGTGGTGAAAGGAACCCTGAGTCACTGTGTCTGCAGCAAAAATGTCAACTTTTTATTTAATTCCCAAAATAACCAATAATCCTACAGTGATCCTAGACTCTTCTGAGTTTTTATATGTAATGTTGTTATTGGTAAAATTGTGGTAAATCTGAAAAAATACGTTTTCTTTGGGTGCTATTTTGCATGAACCAGCAACGCCCTGCATGTGCCTCATCTTAGACCAAAGCTATAATAACAAAAAAAGTCTGTCGTCACGCAGCGCATTCATAACTGTTTTATGTAATAACTTTTTGTAAGGGAACTTTCAGAGGCATTAGATGCTTCAGATGTCTGGTTCTTATCACAACCACTGTGAACAGTTCTGACTCAGTACGTTTTTCTTTGATGAACCATTTCATATCAAACCATTCTAAATGACTTTGTTTACATCCTGACCATTGAATTATGCAAAAAAAAAGAAAAAAATCAGTGGAGTTTCCCCAAGATTTGATGTACCTAGGTGGTAAATAAATTCACAACATCAGTGGAGATTTTATCAAGATTTTATTAAGAGAGCTCTCAGTGGAACTTACTATTTAAAAGCTCTAATGGAGTGAGAGAGCTAGGTTAAAGGAGTCAGTCATAGTAATATACAGCATGCAGCAGCTGTTTGAGGAGTCAGACTCAGATTGCATTACTGGGGTTACAGCAAATTAGTGCCATTAATTGCTTATATTCTTAACACATTACCTTTAGCCCTATTGGAGCTGGATTAGTTTTACACGGGGAGGTGCTGCAATAGTGAGTGACTTCTGACGAGATCTGTGATTTTAATCCAGTATGAATCTGCCATGTTTGTAGTTTTTACAAGTCTGCTAAGTTATAATTCTGAAGGAGTGAATTAGCTTCTATAATT